AAATCAGATATCAAATATGCAAATTCTTAGTGTAAACCATAAGACACCAAATTAACTTTGGTGATTATTACACAGAATATAGAGTTTTTTTCACAGTCTTAAAGTCAATTTGCGCATTAAAAAGAGTACCATGAAAAGGACTACATTGACAGAAGAAAAATACAAGAAGAGGCTTAGAAACATAGAGAAGCATAGAGGAAAATATACAGAGAAAATTATATCTAATGACCCTTCAAACCTGAGTCATTTCTAACTGTAGAATCAGAGGAAATAACAGGAACTGCTTAAGGTCCTTCTTAGGAGCCAGACCCTGGGCTGAAGACACAGCATGTGCCACTGCAATCTGGAGAAATGCTATTTCCCCTTTTTACAGATTAAGAAAAAGAGGCCTGAGAAGTTTAGGAATATCTTATGTTACACAATAAACTGAAGACAGGACTCAAATTCTAGAAAAATCTGAGGTCAATGCCTAGACAGACGACAAAGGTCAAAATCTTATATTTACAACAAGACTCATTATATGCCTATAATGTGAATAACCACGCCTTCTGGTATGCCACAAAACAATCCCTGTTTGAATCTGTTTCCAGTATAATTAGTGACAACCCTCCCTTTCTCTCTCAGAAGTGTAAAGGAGACAAAATATTAAATGGTTATCCTGCTTCAATGCCAGTGGCCCATGATGAAACTTGTCTACACAATTTTTCCACTGAAAAATAAAAATTGGAGGTCCCCTTGTTCAAAAAGCAGGGGGGAAAATACTAGTAAAGGTTTGGAAAGACAAAGCTTTTTTTCTTTCATGTATCTGCTCTGCTGGTGCCCCACTGTCCCACCTGATCTCACTTGCAAAATAAAAGATAAAATCAGTAAGAACTTCAAGATGGCGGTAGATGAGCGTTAAACCCTGAGCTCAAAGCCCTGTACCACTGCACAGGATGCACACCCATGAAGAGCCCTGAGTCTGCCCTTTCTCCGTCCACTCAAAATGGGTCTGTGATCTTGGCATGCTGTGTCGCTGGACTGCAAACAGGAAGCAGGCCACAACCTACTATTGTCCACACTCCAGACAATAAATACTGGATATTAGGCCTATAAAATCATTTCTCTAGAAGAACTGTTTTATAGTATTTCTAATGCAACACAAAAATTCATTTCCCAAACAGAACAAGATATAAAAGTAAATTAAGTAAATATAACAGTAAATTAAGTCACTCTCTAGCATTTTATCAATAATCTCAAAAACAACTCATCCAGATAATGTAACCTACCCATGATCTCAAGTGAAAAATCAAAATACCTGAGATGAAACAATAGTGCATTACAAAGTCTTTAATATCTCAATGCCTCATTGAAGACATGTTTCTGGTTTAAAGGCAGGTATAGGTCTCTTTTGAAACTTTTTGTGGCACAAATTCAAATGTGCATGAGCAAAGCTTAAGAAACTTAAGACCAAATGGGGGCGAGGGGAATTTGAATGTTCAGGATGATTGAGGAACTACCCTTAAAAAACAGGGTTAGGAGGATGGAGGATGCATCAATTCATTGATTCATTCCATCACTCAATAAGCATTTATTGATGAGCTACAGTGTTACAAGCACTGCACATAATTCTGGGGAAGCACAGACAAGCAAAATATATATCCTGGTCCTCAAGGAGTGTGTAGTAGAATGAGACAAAGGGAAACAAATAAATGCATCAACTACTTTGGCTTCCAGAAGAAGTAAATATGGAGTCTAGTGGGTATAAAATAGGGAGTAGTAATATGGGGTAGAGAAGTAGATACAAAGCAGGGAACAATTCTGGGACAGAAGGAGAAAACTGAGCCTTAAAAACCCAGTAGGAATCACCAGGTATATAAAGAAGAACAAAGGCTGAGGCCTGAGAAAACATGGCACATCATGGGAAGGGCAAGTCATTCTGAATGAGGACAGCCACCTTAAAGCACAGAGCTTTGGTCAAACAATGTGTGCTCCTGGGTGCCTAGGCAACAACTAGAAAAAAAGATGCATACGGAATGATACTATGGTACAGAGATAAGAGTGATGAGCATAGGTCCTCTGGGGGATGGGGTAGGAGAAAAAGCACTTTATTTTTTTATTTATTTGTTTGTTTATTTATTTATTTATTTTTGTGGTGCTGGGCATTGAACCCAGGGCCTTGTGGATGCGAGGCAAGCACTCTACCAATGAGCTATATCCCTGGCTCCAAAAGCCCTTTTTAAAAAGGCCAAAAAGGTAGAATTGAGGAAACAGGACTCAAAGGTATTTAAGATCTTAGTAACAAATTTTCCCCTCTGGTTCTATAATCTGTTTTTCTTTTTTTGCGGGGGGAGCCCATGGAAGGGGTACCAGAGATTGAACTCAGGGGCACTTGACCACTGAGCTACATACCCAGCCCTATTTTATATTTTATTTAGAGACAGGGTCTCACTGAGTTGCTTAGCCTCTTACTGTTGCTGAGGCTGGCTTTGAACTCGCAATCCTTCTGTCTTAGCCTCCAGAACCCAGATGTGCACCACCAGCCAGGTGGTTCTATGATCTTTTTTAAAATTTTCTTTCAAGATTTTTTTTTTTGGTGGGGTGCTGGGGATTGACCCCAGGGCTTTGTGCATGTGAGGAAAGCACTCTACCAACTGATCTATGATCAAAGGAAATAATGCCATTTGTGTTGCTCATTCATGGACCCATAGTAAAAATTTGTTGTTAGAACTAAAAATGTGTTTTCCATCTCTTCTTCCTGTTCCTAATAAAGTCACACTTTATTCACATCAGTATGACTTAAGGCAATCACAGAAATCTAAACCAATGATTAATCAAATATTTAGATTTGACTTAGGATCGCACTATCAATTCATTGCAACATATTTGCTGCTCAATTTTTTTAATACTATGGTTGATTTTTTAAAATAATTTTAATTGTCTCTGTTTCTGCTCATTCCCTTAGAATAGGATTCTAGAAGATAAATTATCAAGCCAAAGAGTGTGAATATTTTTAAGCTCTTGGTACATGACAGTGTAGTCTGATATGAAAACTAGATTGATTACATCAACTACAGGTGACCAAGTAAATTCATAAGGGGATTAAAGTTGCTATAATAACTCCTAAAAGAGAAAACTGAATATAATAATTTAAAATAGATTTTTGGCTTTGAATAACCAGTCATGACCAAAAATAAGACAGAGTAACCCTTTGTTTAAGGTGACATTCAGGTCAATAAGTGCATTTGTGTATGTAAACATACATAAGCACAAATACTGGGTAAAGTAGAAGAGTTCATAATTTCTAAATAAGATTAAAAACAGTGAAATCATAATATAATCTCCTACATGTAAAAAGGAAAATACAATTTATTTTAGACTTCCCATACTATTTTACCTTGTTGTCTATATAGGAATAATAAGTTTTCAATTGTAATAATCAGATGTTCAGATGAGAGGAAAAACTGATGAAGATCAACAAATCATTTTTTAAGGTAGATTATGTTAGTAGTGTATTTCTCCAGCTTAGTATTCTGCAGGGTACTTTTTCCAGCTATTTTCAAAAAGCAATACCTCTTTAAGAAATGACTCAAATTCTTCAAAAGTCAAAGAACTTTGTCACCCACAAAGTACCATGAAAGCCAAATCTAAAGCTACTAAAAGTTAAATCTCCTTAAAAAACTCTTTTCACAGTCACTATGGGAAAGAAGTGTAAAATCATCCTATGTATCACCAATTGCCAGGATATTCTCAAATACCTGAACCATTGCAAATAATAGGACTGAACTATACTGATTTTGAGAAATCAAGCAGTAGCCAACCTGTGCATTTTACATCATTTGAGACATCCTTCTTTCCTTCTTGACTCAGCCAAGAAGTGAATTTCCTCTATGGGGACTGTAAGCAGAAACTTTACAGATTTCATACAACTGGGCAGGAAGTTTGGCACTTGAAATATTTCCCTTCAGACAGGAGGGGTATGGAACAGAGTGAAAGAAGTGGAAGTTTAGAGGATTTGAGTTGAGATTGCAAAGCTTCTTTAAATGATGTTGTTGCTGGCATCTGGGTGGACAGGAGCCAATCTTCAAATTCTTTGTCTTGTCAGCAGTGAATAGGAAAAATGTACTGTTTGAGTGATGTCTCAGAAGTTACTTTCACTAAATTTTGCCCCTCCTGCCCTAAAATGAATGAAATATTTTCAAAGCACACTTCCAGTGAGTCAAATTGAAACCTGCAAACCAAGTTCGTGCCCAGTTCTACGAAATCCTGAAGTTGTTAGACTCGAGTTTTATTACACCACTCTCATGGGCTCATGTGCATAGCAACAGAGCAGAGGATAGATTTAAACCAGGAGGAAGGAGATTGTAGGACCAAGGACGGGGGAGCGCACATGTGGCTTTAATATCCAACAGCTGCGATAGAATGGTAACCCCACCACCACCACCACCACCCCCCCCCCCCGCCAACCCCCGCTGCTCCTTCTGTACCCGCCCCGCCAAGATGTTGCAAAGATTATAACTAAGGGGACTTCACTGCCAGGTTATCTGAGTAACTCCAGCTCCAGTAGATTCGAAGAATTTTTTAAATCTACATGTACCTGAATGCAGCAGCTTAGATTTTAATCACCAAGGCTTTATAACAAAATCTCCAGGGTTAGGAGACCGAGGGAAGAGGTGGGGGGGTCACCCTGCAAACTGATCAAACTGCGACGGAGGAAATAAAAAGTGAGGGAAGATCAGGCAGCCAGGATTTCCCGCACAGGACGCCTTCCTTTAGAGCTTAACTTTTCAGATTCTCAGCTCTCCAAGGCCCTGGTCACTCAGTGGGACTCTAACCATTGACAAATCCCTGCAGCGGATCATCGAGACCGCGAACTCCGCGTCCCAGCGCGGATCGGATGCCCCCACCGGTCCCTTAGTGCCCACAGAGACAATGCCGCGGACGCTTCCCGCGGACGCTCCAGCACCCACTCCCCCTCGCCGCCCCGCGGTCCCCCTGCGTAGCAGCGCAGGGGCACTCACCGACACTAGGAACTCCAGGGTGCCCACGTAGTCCCGCTCGGTCTTCTGCAGCTCGCTGAGCACGCACACGCGCAGCCGAAGCTGTTTCTCCATGTCCTTGGCGCTCTCGGCGCGGCCGTCCCCTCGGCTCTCCTCGCTCATGATGGGCGGCGGGACGCGGGGCTTGCCGGCCGTGCTGCGCGCTGCCCCGCGCGCTTCTGCTGCTCTGCTCCCGGCGGCTAGAGAGGAAAGTTGCCGCCTCGGCAAAGTCCGAGGAGGGACGGACGACTTTACATGCTGTGGTGAGGATGGGGAGGTGGGAGAGGAGGGCACTCAGACTGGAACTCCCGCGCGACAGGCGCGGGGCTCTGCACAGGAAACTCCCGGGAGAACAAGCTCGCGCTCGGGCTCTGAGCGCCCAGCCCCGCTGCTCCGGCCTCACGCGGCCTGAGCCCGAGTGTAGGCGGCTCCTGCAGCCACAGCGGTGTCTTGGACATTCATCAAATGCTTTCTATCCATGTGACTCCGACCCTTTACCCTTGGCCAAATCTCAGGAAAAAGGAAACACAACCCTGGGGAAGTGTGTCGTGCCAGCTAACTAAACACACACACACACACACACACACACACACACACACTCACTCACTCTCTCAGCACTTGAGATGGAACTAATTGGAGGTTCCCAAACCTAAGAGGACACACTCCAAGACAGCTCCAGGGTTGCTCCTGAGACTCCCGCCTATTGTTAAGCTTTAATGTGTTTTGCACAAATCCTGAAAGCAAAGAAACAAGTCCCCGGCGGTTACATAACTTGATGGGAACAAAAACAACCCCGGTATTGACCCTCCCATCTTTGAAAAGAAACACATTGATTTCTGGTTTTATTCAGGCACAAAACAGGTTTGCATTTAAAAACCCCCAACTGAGAATATTTCACAGAACAGACACCCTCCTGTCTGCACTTGGAAAGTCAATTAGCATAATAAATGAGGATGCTATAGGAAAGTGACAGCCCCTACCCATTCAATAAACTCCAGATACAATAAGCATCACCCTTGCAGCGGGGTGTTTAGACATCTTTGCATGTCTATAACTTTTCTTCAACGTCCGCATAGTATGTAAATTCAAGGAGAGGCAGAATCTTTGTGCTAGTTTTGTTTCTAAGAGCTGCTGTGATTTAAAAAGGTAAAACTGTTATTGAATGCTCATGGAAAAGAGACAAAGAAGGAAAGAGAGAGAGATTATCTTAGGTTTGAGGATAGAAACAGCATTCTGATTTTAAGGTTTAAATTCATTGCCTTTTCTCACTTGGAAATAGAGTCAAGACCTCCAAGAGCTGATTTCTTCTAATGAATGTAGCAAAAAAAAATAATCCATATATATTTTCATCTAGATATTAACCACATATTTTTCAGAATCATTTTTTATCTATTTAAAACAACTTTAAACAGTCCACACACAACTAATGACATCTAAATAAGTTTATTTAGATGAGTGAATGGATTTGATGCAAGAAAGGGGCATATTAATTTGTTCCCATAGTTGAAAACACTTGTGAAACTCTAAAAAAAGATCCTTTCCTCAGTATTTACATTAAAATCAACATCAGTTTGATGATGATGTCTTTTCAGAGCATGATTTTAGGCTACAATAAGTAATGAGACAGAGAGGAATTGTACTTTCTTGAAGGAAAGATGAAGTTTTGAATGATGTGTGTGGAGCTGATGAAAAAAATGCAGATTTTCCTCTTTCTTTTGCATATGGCTAAAGAGATAGCCGAGAGCAGAGAACAAATAATATAAAAAGCTTTACATCCTGTGGCGGAAGAATGGAGAGCAAGGCACATTAAAGAGCAGACCTCACAGCACCTGGTAAACAATAAACAAAAGAAAAGGAAGAACTAGGAATCACACATCAGTGGTGAATGGAAACCTCAAACCTAACCTGCCTCTCCATGGACTACAGACAGCAAGGAATGAATGCATCTTTTCCTCTTTAGGTCTCCACCCTTCCTCAATGGAAAAAAAAAAATAAGTTACCTAGAGCTTTTCATTAGAAACTTTAGATAATCCAGAGTAAATTTATCTAGAGCTTTCCATCAGGAACTCTAGATAAAAGAGAATCCTCTTAAAATTATCCCCAAACAGAAAACTGCTTATGCAATTTCCTTTTAACAACAACTTTAGTCCCTAAGCAACCCACTCAAACTGTTGTCTCCCCTTTGCAAACTATATACTTGATTGTGAATCACCCCTGAAGTTTAACCCATCCAAAACATTTGCCTTGGCTTCACCAACATGCCTCCAAGACCTTGTGAAGAATGTAGTGTTAAGGCACCAGGACTACAGATGCACTTATTTCTAGGCAAAATTTCTCAAAGTGGACCATAGACCATTGCATTACAACACCTAAGCTCTCCTTAAAGTCGAATATTCCTGGCCTCCTCCCCCAAAATGTATTGAATAAGTATCTCAGACATTACACTTTAATGTCTTTCAACAAAGCTCTCAGATTATTCTTAGGCTCACTAACATATGAGAACCACCATGTGAGGACTTAACAATAGACTCAGGGAGAGGGTCATAAGTGTAAGTAACTATATATTAAAGGCAAGGGGTAATGAATGCTTTGCCAAAAAAAATGGAAAATTAATTAATTAATTTTTAAAAATTCTAAAAATGCAATGGAAGTTCAAAGATACTCATTTATTTGTGCAGATTCAAATTTTTCTCAGAAGTGCCTGTGTATAAAATATTATATTTACAGTTTCTGACCATTTTTCTGCTCCTCAGTCTGCTCCTCAGTATCATTTATAATTAATGAACAACTCCAGGACACCATGTAATGCCTTCTGCCAGTCACCTTTCAGTGTCTTCTGTAACCCTGGCTGGAGTTCTTAATTCTCCATCAAAGACATAAGAGCATAAGAAAACAGGGCTGGAGTATCTGGAAACTTTCACTTTGATGGTAAATAAGGTCTTTCATAAACTCTGAATGTGTTGTATCCCTTCCCACTTCCCCTATTGAAATTTCAGGCTCTGCCTGCCAGGAAAAGGAAAGCAACAACCAAAATGATGGACAAGATCCAGTTTTTTCCTGAAATACTAATGAGGTTGAAGCCTCCAATAAAAAAGAGATGAGAGAAAAGAACATCAAGAGAAGTAGCTGAGTACTAAACTAGCTCAGTCATTAAATTTATTTCGTATGCATGAACTTGGTGTGGTTAGAATCCATTATCATAAAGTTCAAAGAGCCAAAGCTCAGGAGCACAGTGGGCTTCCTTTGGTCAGGCCCAGAGAAGGAAAACTCCTGGACTAAGATACTGAAAAAATCCAAGGCTGGTTCTTTGTGAGAAGACAGCTCTCCAAACCTATTCAGAAAGAGGTCATTTTAGCCTCTTCATCATTTTTATACTACTATTTGTCTGGGTAAAGGACTAAATTAAATTAGATACTGAAGATCAGTAAAAGATATAGCTTTAAAAAAAAAGCAAGATTGCTTTAATGCATAGCCATCTTGTTAAATAGAGGACTCCAAGTATCCAAATACTCTTTATCCACAGGTAAAATTGATGTATAAGTGTATCTGTAGTCCTGGTGCCTTAACACTTAAAATTAATTTCCTTTACTGCTCTGACCTATGATATATGTCCCTACAGTATATTAGTGTAGAAAAATATTACAGACACCTTGCATTTATGTTAGTGTATATTTTAAGAGTCTTCAACAAGAAGTAATTCTGATAATATTTATTAATTTAGTTAATAATTTCTGCCTAATCCCTCAGTTACTTGCACTTCACTTTGTTGATCATTTAGCATAATAAGTACAGCATGTTCTGGAGCACGTAATCAATTCTATCATACTGATACAAGTATTTAGAATGTGTCTTGTTTAAAAAAACAAAATATAGTTTTCATAAACCATATTTTAATTTCCAGGACAATATTTTATGGCACAGCAAACTAAATAAATGTTTAGATGATGTTACTTCAGCAAGACTCTAAAGTTCTTAAAGATGTGATCATTTCCAGATTAGCTTGATTAAGAACAAATCATCCTCATAGCCATAATCTAACATGTAATGGGTAATCACTTTCTCAATATGAGGACTTAACTTATAACCATCCCAGCAAAATCAACAGGCAGTTTGGGTCTGTTATTAGTCTCAGAAGAAGATCATCCTTGCAGTGTTCATCTACCTGCCATTCTCCCTCCCGGCAACTTCCTTAAAAAATTTGTCTGACCCATATACCTTTAAACTACACCCTATTTCTCTAGTCCCTGGAAAAATTATTCTAAAGAGTTCTACTCATTTCCTGTGATAGGCAGAATAATGCTCACACACATACAAAGACACCTTCATCCTAATCCCCAGAACTACAAATATGTTGCTTTAAATAGCCAAAGGTCATCACATACAGGTGTGATTGAATTACGGATCTTGATATGGAGGGATTCTCCTGGACAACCAGAGAAACTGGTGTGAGGACCTAATCACATGAATCCTTAAAAGCAGAGAACCTTTCTAGGTGTGATTACAGAGGGAGATGTGACTGTGAAGGATGGTCAGAGATGCAGCACTGCATTGAAGATAGAGGGAGCAAGGCACTAGCCAAGGATCACATGCAGACTGTAGAAGCAGAAAATGGTTCCCTAGAGACCCCAGAAGGAATGTACCCGTTAACACCTTGATTTTAACCCAGTAACACCAACTTTGGACTTCTTTTTTTTTTAATTTTTTTTAGTTGTAGTTGGACACAATGTCTTTATTTAATTTATTTTTATATGTGCTAGAGGAACACTCTACTGCTGAGTTACAACCCCAGCCTCCCAACCATGGACTTCTCACCCTCAGAACTATATGGTAATAAATGTGTGTTGTTTTAAGCTACTGAATTTATTATTCAGCAATAAAATCTAATATATTGTCTTTACCTCCCAATCTTTTCCCAAATTCCTATAATATGATTACTCTCTGATTAGTGGAATAGCACTGATCTTGTAAGGGTCATCAGGGTCCTTTATGCTGCATCCAATGAATGCTTTTCCTTCCTTGTCCTATTTTACCTTCCTGTAGCATTTGACAGTGGTGACTGTCTCTCATCCAGGTAAAGCTCTTTGCTCTGCTTTCTATGATATTGTTGATCTGGTTTTTCTTTATCTATTTTGCCTTTCC